TAATGTAATATACTGATTTATTCCCACAGACCAATGTTCATTTAATAACAATATCATTATTACTATAACTATATTGGACCTAATGTAATATACTGATCCCCTCTCACAGAGCAGTGTACATTTAACAACAATATCCTTATTACAATATCTACATTAAGTATGTAATATACATTTAATAACCATGTCATTATTACTATACCTACATTACATATAATGTAATATACGGATTACTTCCCACAGGTCAATGTACCTGTTCCGAATATCAGATTTCAATATTAAGGGAAGAGGAAACAAGGTATGATCGTGGTCACCGAGGATAAATGAAACACAAGCAATATTAGATTTTAACGAATAAGAAAGAAAAACAAATGATTTTATTATATAGAAAAAATGACTTTAAAGGATACCAGCTGTAAAAAACCCCAGACTCAAGTGGGGAAAAAGCCTGGTTCCATAAGCAAAATAAACTACAACAAATAAAAGAATAATACAATAACAAAACGATAATATATATATATGAAAGTAAAACTATAACCTAGAGATTAAAATACTATTTGAATGATCATTCAAGCTTATGACTATCGCACGCAAGAGCTCTTTACCATCCGTACTCCTAGGGCACCTCGCCGACGTCGCAGCCAATCGTCGCGGTCCTCGCACAAATAAATCCTGATCACAGGAGGCGTTCCCCAATTGAGAACAAAACAGTCGTGATCACACGAGCTTAAAATTGCACCCAGTGCATTTCCTGGTCACAGGAAGCGTCCCGCCAAGTGGGGACAAAAAATGACCGTGATCACACGGCCCCAAATGCACTCAGTGCTTCACACGCAGAGGACGCACGCCCGATTAAACTCGCGCACGTCAGCCGATCGCCCCCAATACAAAAGAAAACACAAAAAGAACACAAAGGTATCTCAAACGCACAAAGACCAAAAATACGAGTGCAGAGGTCACGGATTCTCGTCTGAATGTCGGGCCCAGTCCCGAACGGTCCTTTCCACCCCCACACTGCTCGCGCCTGCGTATTGCAGCGTGGCGCTGACACTCATGCCCCCCTTCTCGTGGCGTCAAATTTGAATCCTACAGCTCGGACCAATTATAGAAAAGAGATGCGAAACCCGAACAGTACCCTGAGTTGCATTGAACTTGTCGCAGTGAAGTTGGCTACAAATTCACTAACACATTCATGCCGCGTCGGTCAGTCGATCTCGCCCATCGGCTCACCGACGCGGCGTGAATGCGTTAGTGAATTTGTAGTGAATATAGCATTGTTGGCGAAATTCGCCAAATTGCCTCAGCCCACGAAGTTGGCAACGAAAGTATTTCGTCGGGGCGTCGTTACCGATAGCGGCAGCACCTCTCGGGCCCACTTTGTCCACGCGGTCCCCTCTCCACGCGCTCGCCGGCACAATCGACGCTATCATCGATCGTGTTCTTCTTGTTCGTACGCTCGCCGTGCAACCACGTGTTTTCGGTCCACGCGAGAATTACGATCCTAGTACGCAGTTTTACACATTCCGACCACGCGATACTAACAGTTCAGTCCGCGACGTGTATGATTGCAATTGCCCACGCATTATTTGATTGTAGTCTCCTAATATTAAGTGTATGTTTGCTTCGCTGATCAGGCTTATTCTCTGTGTTGTGATAATCGCCCTGTACGTACTGTTTGTGATTAAACTTTCTGTTAACTCCACAAAGTGCGTAGTTCCTTGCAGCCCGCTCCGACCACGCGAATTTGCGAACAAGTATTATGGATATAGTAATAATGATATTGTTATTAAATGTACATTGGTCTGTGGGAATATATCAGTATATTACCTTATATCCAATGTAGATATCGTATGAATGATGGTGATATTAAATATACATTGATCTGTGGAAAGGAATCAGTATACTACATTATATCTAATGTAGATATAGTAACAATGATATTGTTATTAAATGTTTATTACATACCGAATGTAGATATGGTAATGACGATACTGTTATTATCTGTGCATTGATCTGTGGGAAGGAATCAGTATATTACATTATATAAAATGCAGATATGGTACTAATGATATTGTTATTATATGCACATCGATCTGTAGGAAGGAATCAGTACATTACATTATACCCAATGTAGATATAGTATGAATGATGTTGTTATTAAATGTACATTGATCTGTGGGAAGGGATCAGTATATTACATTATATGTAATATAAATATAGTATGAATGATGTTGTTATTAAATGTACATTAGTCTGTGGGAAGGAGTCAGTATACTATATGTATATCTACATTAGATATATAATAAGCATTTAATAACAATATCATTATTACTATACCTACATTAGATATAATGTAACATACTGATCTATTCCCACAGACCAATATACATTTATAATAACAATATCATTATTACTATATCTACATTGGATCTAATCTAATATCCTGATCCCTTCCCACAGATCAGTATACATTTAACAACAATATCATTATTACTATATCTACATTAGGTATGTAATATACATTTAATAACGTAACATTATTACAATACCTACATTACATGTAATGTAATATACTGATTCCTTCCCACAGATCAATGGACAGATCGCAGCAGTATCGTCATTACTATATCTACATTAGATATGTAATAAACATTTAATCACAATATCATTATTACTATACCTACATTTGATGTAATGTAATATACTGATTCCTCCCCACAGTTCAATGTACATTTAATAATAATATCATTATTCCTATACCTATATTAGATATAATGTAATATACTAATATACAAGCTCCAGGAGTGCACCCGTGTGGAGGACTCCCATCCTATACCCCATACTTCTCGAAAGGCAGGTCAAGGTGCGCTTTAGCGCTTTAAGCGGCAGAACCCGTGTAACGTATTTACCGTAGAATAAACGCCCGCAAGACGGGACGTAACAAAATTCGAATTCCCGAAAATCGACTTTTGATCGTCGAAAACCGTTTTATCTCACTGTGGGCCGGACCGGACGCATACGCCAGCCGGGCGTCCGCCGGACTAACGGTCCTCCTACTGTCGGGGCGGACGAAATGCGTACCGCGACCGTCCACCCCAGTGGTGCCATCCGTCCCAGTAACCCTGGCTTCCGACTATCTCCGCCGAATCGAACCGTGATCGTGACCGTACCGGACCGCCGAACCGCTCCACGACCGTAACCGTACTGGACCGCCGCGGCGGTCGGGAAGCCGCTCGGGGTGGCCCCGGCTGTGGCTAGCGGATACAGCGATACCTCCGACGGGCGGTCGCGATTCGCGTCTTGTCGCCGAACATTGCTGGTGGAGTGTGAGGAGTTCAAAAGTACGAACCAGTCTCGCTATGATTCATTCAGTGGGATTCGCTCAGAGAACAGATCTGCCGTCCCCAGCTCACGACGCGGTATATATTCTGCCGCTAAGCCGTTTGCCTCGCGCGGTCGCCATCTGGCGTTGGCGTTGTCGCTAGCGGCGCGAGTCGGCGGTGCTACGGTTGCGGACTCGTAGGGGCCCGTGGTTTCGCGGCCTCTATGTATATCTCCTCACAGACCTAGTAAGGTGCATTGATCTTACTATATGACTCTGAATCAACTGACTTTTCTCATGTTTTACTATCCAAAATAGAATACATTAATACTAATAATCTAAAACCCTAGGATTACATGCAATAATAATATATTTACTCACCAATTCGACGTTTTTGCCTTCTTCACTTTTATCTTTGTCTTTGCCTCTCCCACAGGACACTGCCGTTCTCACCAATACTCCGTAATAGTCTTGCTTGGTCACCAGCTTCAATGTGTCCATCACCACTGTTTACACAGTTATGTAGTCTGTATTTTAGATTTCTACGCACTTTATAGAAAATGTTTTCTTTGTCTTGAATTTTTTCAAAAGCATAATTAATGCGTCGTTTTAAATCCGCCACAGTCTTTATTTCCGTGCCCGATTTATACACGATTTCCTTCACTGCGCCCCAAAGAAAAGAATCCAGTGGATTTAAATCGGAGGAGCATGGAGGCCACAAATGTGGAGCAGGTGTTGAATCCCAATCCATCGCGATTCAAACAATTGCGACAAATATTCGTGTACTGACTTGCTAAAATGCGGTGCTGCGTCATCGTGCATAAAATAAATCATTCTTCTCCTTTGTCGGGGAAAAAGCCTGTGATCAATTCCGTGTGCAAAAATTGACAATATCGGTGACTAGTTAATGGCGCAAGTAGATAGGACCGATTATTTTATCACCGATTATTCCAGCCCATACATTTACTGAAAACTGTCCTTGGTTGAAATTTGGTTTTGAATATTAATGTTAGAAAAACTAATTTCATCCGTAAATAGAATGTTTAAAAAAAAATGCTCATTACTCTGCACTTTCCTCAACATCTACTGACAGAAGTTTGTTCTCTGTTCATAGTCCGATTCTCTTAATGCTTGCACATTCTGGATACGATATGGTCTTAAGCCTTCTTCACGGATTAAGCGACGTATCGTCATGTGTGAAATATTTGCACGTTGTGCAATGCCACGGAGTCCCATGAACGAATAACTTCGTGCGAGTGCAATGACTTGCTTTTCCGTTCTCCAATGCATCCGTGGTCGACCAGCATTACAGTGGTTGTTGCTGATCATTGAAATTGAGGCTTCACTGAAACGGTGGTCCAGTCTTTGGAATTGTCGCCTATCAGGAATGGATCTCAATCTTATTACTCTACCACTATTCGAGCCATTCACAGTATATACGCCGTGCCAGGGTATAATCTCTATCGGCTGCATCCATGGCACAGAGCATTTGACGCTGTTGGCGAAATTCCCCATGTCGACGCAGAACGACGAAGTTGGCAACTAAAATACTTCGTTGGTGCGCCGTTACCGATAGCGGCAGCACCTCTCCGGCCCACTTTGTCCACGCGGTCTCCTCTCTGCGCGGAACCGGTACGATCGACGACATGATCGATTCTTGTTCTTCTTGTACGATCGTTCGACGCGCAACCACGTGCGTTCGCAGTCCGCGCTTTGTACGTCTTTTCCGTGTCCACGCGACGCTGATAGTTCAGCCCGCGCTTTTCCTTAATTACTGTACATTAGTTTAGTTAGCAATTAAGTTTGAGCCCGCGCAGTTTAGTAATTAAGTATATTTGTCAGTCCGCGCAAACCTTGTGTAATTCGTTGTACAGTTCTGACCACTCGTGTGATTCTCTGAACCCGCGAGTGACTATTGTAAATATTTCTCTGTGTAAAATACATTGTTTGTTACCGTTACGCAGGTGTGTGTTATTTCTGACCGCGCGGACCACGCAAAATCGCAAACAGACGCACATTCACAAATGTGCGATTATTGTTTCGGCTACGACGCTCCATGATGCACGATTGTTCATTATTAATTATTAAAATATCACTAGTAATAAAATAACACTAAATAACACTACTAACATTAATAACCCTAGTAACACTAATACACAACACTACTACTCTACACTTAATATTATCACTATTACTACTAAGATAAATAATAATAAAATGTAGGAAAACACAAATGACTATACAATTGTTGTAATAATAATAATAATAATAATACTGAAAATGCAATAAACAAAAGGGCAAGGTAGATACTTCGAGTAAAACTCAAAGAAAATTAGCAGGCGCTTGGAAATGTTCTCGCTGTCGTTGTCAAAATGAATCTGAGGCTTCGAATCTCTTGCAATGGTTTTCCAAAACCCCGGTGAAGATGATGTTGGTTTTCTACATACAGGAAAAAATGCGCTGCAGTTGCTTAAAGAAAATTAAGAGAGTGTTTCAAAAGACCATTGAAACTAAAAGTTCAACGTAGAACAAAATTTACGATATCCGTATCCTATGGTGTTTTCCCACCAGAAATTCGTAATTGATGGTAACCAGTTACAAATTTTGCGTGTGTTCTTCCAGAGGCACTCCTCGTAAGTATAGGCATGAACAGTAGAGAAAAGGAACGCTTTTCTGACATCTGCAATGCACGAAAGTAAGAGAAGACATTGGGTTGGAATCACGGTAACTTTCTCTATTGTTGATTCCTATCCTTACGAAAAGAGTTTCTGGAAAGACACGCAAAATTTGTAACTGGTTACTATCAACTACGAATTTCCGCTGGGATAGCACCACAGGATACGAATGTCGTAAATTTTGTTCTACGTTGAATTTTTGGTTTCAGTGATCTTTCAAACCACCCTCTTAACGTTCTTTAATGAATTGCAATGCATTTTTCCTTTATGTAAAAAATCAATACCATCTTTATCGATCCAAGAATTTACTTCTTACTTAAGTTTATCATAGTTTAATTATTATTGTAATTGCTGCTATAGTATAGTCATTTAGGTATCTTTTTATTGATATTTTAACTATTCATCGAAGTAGCAACACAGTATTGCCTCGAAATAAGCAAGTGGTTTTTGCTTCGAAATAATCAACTCGTTATCCCCTCTTCTTTGTTTGAAGTGGTCCACAAAGTGAGAGGTCCGAGAAATGAGTGAGATTATATTGTATCAGTTTAGGGTAGGGGTACGCACACCGCTGTGCCAGGACCCAAGGTACGTCCATGTGACAGAGTGGTGGTAGACCCATGTCTCTACGTATTACACTACACAACCAAATCGCTGTGAATTCTTCAATAATTTTTCCTGACCAAACGGTTTGTTTGCAACATACGGTTCCTCTCTGACTATTTTTTTTCTCAATGCGCAGAATCCGTTGATGTAAAAAAAAATTTAACATTAATTTTCAATGTTATAAACAATTTTGCCGCAAGCTTTTCTTATAGATGTCCTCCGATCCTAGGGTCTAGATTCACCCCCTGAAGCTATTACCATTAATTTTTTTACACCCTGGACATATTACGTCTGCACAGATTTTTTTCTCATAATCATATATAAATAAACAAAAAACACCATAAGTAAGGGGTCAGAAAATGATCATAAGTATAATTCCAATTTCAACAATAAGATATGAGTAAAAGAAAGTGTTCGAGACGGTCAGGAAAACCGCCAGCTGCGCGGCTTGTACGTATATACCGTTTATGTATATCGTGTATTTCTTATTTTTCATCTAGTTCATTATTCTTAATTTATTTTCATTTATTTACATTTATTAATTATTCACATTTATTCTTTATACCTTCTTTATGTATATATATTATTACGCCTTACATATTTAATTATAATTATTTGTAGTTCTATCGTTTGAAATAAACGATCGCAGACGGTAACGATGTTTCGGCACCTCTCGTCTCTCATCTTGTTCTTTATAAGAAGGTGGTACTTCTTATAAACACGCGTGCCGAAACTGTCATCCTCCTTCTTACTTGCGATTTCGTCAGTACAAACCAGTACGACAGTCAGTAGTTTTTCTACGCATACCTAAGAAGATTATCTCGCTTTTCCGGATCTTTCTGGTCAATACGTTCATCTGCTCGCGATAGCGTTCGTGGAAATTCTTCGGGTTTTTTTTACCGTAAATTCGCTCGTTTAATTGCAGCGAATAGAATCACGCGTTTACTTCCTCGTAATTGACGGAAATTTCGGAAAAAACGGTGACAGAAAGTTAAAAGAAACTGTGAAAAATGCATATACTGCATAATTCAGAAACATGCCTGTAACATATATATATTTTTCCTTTTTCTTTCAGAACAAGATGAGGTGGTGCGACAGCTGCAGCGGCAACAACAACAAATAAAGCAATTAAGGGCGAGCTCAGGGCGGAACTCTTCCCTCAACAGCAGCAACAACCTATGGAGGTTGCAGAGGATGCCGCAACGAAGTAAATATCACAGATTCTCTAAAAGCAATAACACTGTCCAACTTTAAACTTATTCTCTGATTTTCAATAGCCACTGAGTGATCGTTCTAGAGCTTCTTGTCCTGAACACGAATCCGAACACCGAATTGCTCTATCACCCTCAGATTTCGAAAAACACGAGCTTTTGTAAAAATATGTGTTTTGGGGGGAAAATGACCTATTACGCGGAAGTTAAAAACGCTAGAATATTCCCATTGGTTTTAAAAGATTGTAATATTTATCTCTTTAGTAAGGGGAATACGCGAGTAGAACGAGCGTATGATTTCCCCGACGCGACGTATCTTAAGGTGGAGTTCGCGTTCGCGGCGCGTACGCGAAAGCAGAAGGAATGGTTGAAACAACAATGAGATATTTGTTTGCGGTGTAACAAAGGGTATTAGTTTATTCAAAAGGTGAATCGTTTGGGCTCAGTAGCCTATCACAGAGTGATGGAAGCACCGCTGGCTTAATCGAAATTGACGCGCTTGACAATAAATGGAATGCAAGGTGACTTTAACTAGCTGTTATACAGACGCGCTTTACAATAAATGAAATGCTCGGTGGAATTGACTAACAAGTAACACTATGGAAGTGCCATACGGCGATTTTCTTGAAACTTGGCATACAAGTAGTACATAGAAAACTATTGGACTAATATATTGTTATATCGGCCCGAAAGCCGTTTGAAGGGTAAAAATTACCCTTATCGATTTTGGGGGTAGGTTCTGTTGCGGTTTCTATATCTTAGAATTGCCAAAAGAAAACAAGAAACACTTTGAAATATGTTTATAATAATGTCTGTTTATTTAAATGAATGAAAAAATAACTATGATATTGTTTATGAAAAATATAAAAGCTTAACAAACTGTCCTTTTGTATAACTACGCCACATGATGAGGAATAACGGAAAAAATAACCGCATAGTAGTACTTTTGTGACGACACTCGAAATAGAAAAACCAGAAATTAAATTGTGTCGCCCTCTTGGCAAAACACTTCCCTAGCGGTAATTATATATAGAAAAATCACGCATTCTTAACAGGTTCGACTATTTTACGAATTATTTTTACGATTGTTGCGAAATCAGGTAACTAAGAGTTTTTGGGGTTGCTGATAACGAATCTGAAGTCCGTTTTTAAGAATTCAAAATGGCGGACCCAATATGGCGGTCGCATTTTTTCAAAAGTTTTACACCCTATCAAAAAGTGCGAAAATTACAAAAAATAAGAAATCAGCATAACTTTGAGGCGAATTTGTAGCAAAACGGTCCTAATCGAAAACTACCAATAACAGTAACGAAACATCGAAAACCATCCCTACAAGTAGTGATGCATCTAAAAATCAATCCCCCGTTAGCACTAGCCAGGATGAACGACGTAGACATGATAGGGTTCTCATCTCATTGGGATGAGACATACTTGCCTCTCGAAGATCTTGCGTAATTAATGATGAACTGTTGCATTAGGAAACCCCACAACAATTCTTCGCCCACTCGCTTTACTCATTCTATTGGCGCTTCTTGCTCTACTCGTTTTAATCGCTCCGCTCGCTTACTCGGTCCATTCACTACGGTTAACTGCTCTTGTCAAAAGTTGAACTTTTGCTTTTTAACAGCTGTGGTTGTTCTTGTTTCTTACGATTTATGGATTTAAAGTACCTGTAAAGATAATGTCGATGAATCCAAGAAACATTGTTCTTTTATTACAAAGAAGTTTTAATCCTCCTGAATATAATGTGCATTCAGTTATTACAGACGAGGAAAAATCGTTTGCTGCTAATTTGGAGAATTTAATTAAAGATGCTATACGTAGATGCACAGATATTTGTCGAAAGCATTGATACTTTAAGCTTTAATGAAGAAAGTGTATATCCTGAAGCAATTTCTCTTAATGAGGTTTCTCAAAGTGATTTCAAAGAATCAATAAAGGATTGCAAGAAAACTATAATTGATATTGATATCGAATATAAAACAAAGGCTGTACAATTTCAGCGTTCCGGAAAGACAAAATCTTTGCCCTTAAAGTCAGTTCAGCACAGATTTAAGAAAGTTTCTGATTTGAGGTCATTGTATAGGTGGGAGGCGCAAAGTAAAGAAGGTGGCACGAGAAATGAAAAATTATTATAAATTTCGAAGTATGTTTTGGATCAATTCAAAATTTCCTCTGAAAGATCGGTTTTTATTCATGACATTGATATAAAAAGATGGGCTTTACGGGCTGGAGAAGAAATCAATTTGTCACCGACATTATTCACTGCTTCCGCATTTTGGGTACATAATTTTAAAGTGAATCATGGAATTGTATCGCGAAAGATAAATAAATTTTTGACTAAAAAACAAATATCGTCAAAGGAAAAATTATTACAAGCATCAAGCAAATGTGTTTCTAATGTAAAATCAGAGATCATGTTGGTAGGTGAAGAAAATGTCTATAATTCCGATCAATCGGGATTCAATTTAGAAACGCATGCAGGTCGCACGCTTGCTTTAAAAAGATCATTGAAAGTCGAGTGTTTAGCGCAATCTTTGAATTCTTTGACGCACAGCTACACTATTCAGCCAATCGTTTCTGCCAACGGAGATTTAAAGTCCTCTTTATTAATAGTCCAGCAAGAGACTAGTGGTAAATTTGGACCAATCGTTCAGAAAACTTTGTATAAAGCAGACAATATTGTCGTATTTGCATAAAAATCAGGCAAATTAACGTCCGACCTTTCCATCAATTGGTTTGCAAACGTTTTTTTTACCAAACACCGAGGAAAATTCTGTTCTTTTGTTTGATTCTTGGACTGACCAGACTAAAAAAAAGTTTGACAATCGGCTTCAAACGGCTTTCGGGCCGATATAACAATATACGTGTCCAATAGTTTTCCATGTACTACTTGTATGCCAAGTTTCAGGAAAATCGGCGTATGGCACTTCCCTAGTGTTATTATAAGTTGTGGGTTGAAGGCGTGCGAAGGCACGGCAAAGACATTTATGTGTTCGACCTCTAATACCTCTTCGGAGACGAGATTGATGTAGGTTGCTTGTCTGTTTTTGTTTTATTAGATTTTTACTATGTATTAATGTATATTTTATTTTATCTGTTATAGCCGGATTGGTGGTAGCGCGTCAACCCCCAACAACTCCCATAAGTTACCCCGGCGAGAGAGAAAAAAAGCGAAGAAACGAAACGCTTCCGACAAGAGCTTCAAAGTTAAACACAAATAGGGAGCGCATCTTCCGAGGCTTCTTTGTGCCTTTGTTTCTTCGGTGTATCTCCAGCAAAAAAAGCCTCCGAACAGGAATAAGAGGGCCCATAATTCGACTGTTTGCGTAAATTTTGAATTCGATCAACCTTCGCTTCGTTGCTCAACGTGTCGCACTTTCACCACCATTCTAACGCTCTATTATTTATATTTATCGAGATGTGTCTATATCGTTTTTAGGATTCCTTACTAAGTCAACAAATATTTTATTTGCTCATTTTCTATTACGCTAGATAAAATTATATAAAATAAAAGTATATAACCGTTTTCAATGTAATTTATTCTTGTCTCACCCTTCCCCTTACGTCTTTTATTAATGTAATATAATACAGTATTATATATTATGCATTAAAAAAGTATTCAAAAGTTATGAATATAATTTATTCTTAGAGCTACCCCACTCCTTTCATTTATAATAAAGCCGAAAAATTATTTATTCATATAATGTTTGTAATTACAAACATTTTAAAATATAGATTACAAAATACTGTTCGCTCCTATCCATGAATTGTACGTAGAATCAAACCCTAACCACTTGGCTAAAATTTTATTTCCCTTTCGTTGTAGAACCTTCTCCACTAAATATACATCGTGATCTTTTACTATATGTAGCTCGTATTGGTAGAACCCGCCGACCAACGGCTGTTTTTGCATATCTTGCAAGAGATACGTTACAGGATTTGATCGTTGAATTTTAATAATTGTGAAAATTTCAGTTGTCCAATTCGGTGTATAACCCTTTGCGAATAAGGGTTTGTATTTACTAACTCGCACGTGATCACCGACCTTGTACTTGGCCGGAGCTGCAATCTTTATGTTAGAATATACAGACGATAACAGTTTGTCCGCATGTACCGGTGTTACGTCGACGGGGCGCATTCTAACCGTACGATGCCTTCTATTGTTATAATCTGAGACCAGCGTCGGTAAGACGGCCGTCCACGCGTAGCTTCCATTAAGCGGGAACTTTTTCCACATTTCGTTTTTCAACGTCCTATTCCAACGTTCTACTATCGATGCTTTCATTGTGCTATGCGTAGAGTAATTCTTTCATAAAATTTCGGAATTCTGTATTATAAAATTCCTTTCCCTTATCCGTTTAAAGATTTGTCGGTTTTCTACCATCATTCAAAATGTTTAAAAATGCATTCGTAACGTTTTTTCCATTTTTCGTTTTCACTGCTACGGCCCAAGCGTATTTAGATAAGACATCGATGACGGTGAGTATGTAATTGTAGCCATTGTTGATTCGCGCATACCGTTCCATGTCTACGAGATCCGCTTGCAAGAGATCATCGTAACCCCGCACAATGACTCGTCTACGTCTAAAGTTACGTCTCGCTGGCGCGTGCAACTCGTTGACCAGCTGCATCTTCTCGTCCGTGATATGATTGCTCTTCACCTTCTTCATGTTTGTAAACTAACATCATGCTTTACGAACGTGTCAATTTATAATCAACCCGCTTCTCGAAGTTCTTCGATTATAGAAACGATCTCGTTGTCATGCCCTGTATGTCCTACGGATTTCGAGGATACGAGAAGACATAATCTATCGACGAGCTCGTTTAGGTCATTCCAGTCCACGTAGTCCACTGCGTTATCGTTAGCCACCATATCGAACGGTATCAAATTACCTCCACGCCGCTTGCTCTTAAGCAATTTTGCAATGATATATTTGTACTTGTAACCCTTGTTATTTTTCACAAGCCGCGACGAGATATGGCTGCGTCTATGAGCGTTCGACGACTTTAATATTTCCGCGTATTTGTGTAAATCAGTGACGTTGTACAAGGTGTCATTAGGCATTCTCATAAATAGTAATTCGTAAGAACCAGTTGTTCCTCTGTACCTCACTTCATTAATAATCACATCATCGCTTTTGTTTACGTCGAAAACTGAAATTCCAAGCATTAATTTGTTGTATTGTACGTATACTCCATACACGTCATCTATCTTCTTCTCACGATCGGTAAAGAGTAATTGAATGTATTTAACTGCCAACCGTCCCAAATTTTCCTTGAAATGGCTACGTATGTTTTTGCTAGGGTTATCCAAAATTCGCTGTATAGAAACATTAAGATTCTCGTCACATCCACCGTCTGTTCACTCGAAGATGTACCAGGTTCGAAATAAATGCGTGCTCTTGCAGTTTGTGCGCTTTGAGGATTAAGAAAAGGAATTGACGTCAATTTTTGCGATTCTTTAATATTCAAAGTTGGGAATGTCGACTCGGATTTTATATCGATCGTATCTGAATGTGGCGATTCCACTGACATATTCTCGATAATTCGTTCCAGCTATTCTACCTCGGGTCCCAATCGTTTTTGGATGACTCTCTCCTTGTCGATGCTGTCCGATTTGAGAGCTCTGGGTTTTTTGCATATAGCATCGCTTGTTTTAGCTATAGCATTCGCAACTTTGCTCGATTCTTTAATATTATTATTATCCATTGCAAAGAGAAGACGTCTACTCGCTAAGCGTTCTATCGAAGGACTAAATGTTTCAGAAAACGGCAAATTCGTTAAATCCTTTTCTGTAACGGCCACGTTCCATCGAGCTGTCCTTGTCGATTATTACGAAACCATATTTCTGTTCCCAACACTGTGCATACAATTTACGAAATTTTTCATACGACATGTCTGTATTTACATGATTGTTATAAATGTGGTGTTGATTCGTACTATCTTGTTTGAACACGATCAAAAGGTTGGCATTGTCGCGAATTAGGTGTTTCGGTATTTTCGCGTAAGTCTGACAGAGATAAAAACAGTCCACGCGCGAGTGCCTACCCATAGCGAAATACTCTCTTATCACGTCGTGCTTGTCGCACGCAACGTCATCGAATATAAACACCGAATCGGGCAGCGCCTCCTTCGGTGGCACGACTTCGGCGTTATTGGAAAATGAAAAGTATCCGATTTCAAGAACGTTTGTCAAAATTCGTTCCAGGTATTTGTACTTTGGTTGTTGCAATGATTTTGAGTATACGTATACATTATTGAATCTTACTCCGTTCGGGCTCTCGATCAGACTGATTACGACGTTCGTTTTACCGCAGTTCGATGGACCGCAAATTATACCACGTATCGTATTCGGCAAGAGGGGTCCGTGTCGTCGCCGACGATCGTCCGTGCGTGTTGTCCTCTCGTCTATATTGAGAACAAGGATAGACAGGGGCTGCTTTCCGAAACCCATATCGTCTATATAATAACCATATATTCAATGATTCAACCTCTTTATAGGATGCGGAAAAGCTGCTTGTCTGCGTCGTGAACGCGCTTTAACCGTGGCCGTAGACGAGCTTTAACCGCGATTAACCCTTTTTCCTGCGCAGTGGGCGCGCAGTGGTGGCGGGCACGCGGAATGCAATTTGATAAAGAAAGAGCAATTCGTGACCGTGTCAGTGAGCCATCAAATACACATCCAAGTGTAACGTCGCCGAATAAACGAGCGAGTACGCTACTACACCGACGCGTAGGGAGAGCGGCTTCCTGTTGAGAAGGCAACTCGTATCAGAATAATAATATTTAAGGGATCTTAGGTTCGAGTGGTGCGCGGTAAAGGAGTGAAATCCAACGTTAATTCCTTTCTAAAATATAGTGTGTTTATTCAGAAAAAGTAATATTTATATATTGTGACCCTTTTGGGGATTCACTCTATATTCTCTATAATTTGTTACAACTCGTTACAATCGCTGGGCGCCAGCCACTCTCGGTGGCAATCGAAATCGAAAAAGGGAAGGGGTATCGCAGGGGCTTAGAGAGGATGGGTTTCGGGCACTTACGTCCGTACAGTACTTCGCGGGGGAGTACGCAGTGGAGGACAGTCTTGGGTAGGGAAAGGTCTCAGGGTGGGAAAAAGATTCGCAGGACAGCTCGTGTACGTTACGCGTCGAACGTAATGATCAAAATCGGGAAATCTTAAAGGGGGATTGGGAAAAGGGGAGGTTCGTCGTAATCTTTGAATAATGCGCGGGCAGAGAAGATTGCCGTTGCCGGAACTCAAACAATCGATTCACAATTTTATGTAATCTAAAGGACTCACCCAATCACCTCGTACACACTCTCGCAACTCGTTTCGCAAATCTTTACCGCAATCGCTAATCGCTTTCCAAAATCTACTCAAAATCGCTCTCTATACAATGATAGCCTAAGGCTCAATGCCGGCTCTGGGAGTGGGGCTCTTCCGGTAACGGATAGATCGATTATCGACTTATCGATTTACCGGTGATGGGGGTCGATGGGGCTGGCGGATGTCCTGTGGCGGCGGGTGTGGGCTGAGGTCTTCGGGCTCGGCGACAGATGGCTCCAGGTGGGCTTTTTCTGCATCGTCTGGCTGCTTCGTCTGATGGTTTTGAATTCCGACGTTGTTCCCTTTTCTTGGGAGGGTTTGGAGGTCTGTCGCCGGCCTCGAAGCTCCTGGTGGGATAGTCCTCGTCGGTCCTGTCCGTCGCACAGTGGGACAAAACGGCTTTCGGCGATCAAAATTCGATTTTCGTGAATTCGAAAATTGAAAAACTAATTACATACATCGATAGAGGATAAACTGTAGTTTAACGTAGTGTAATCCGTTTTTTCATATTTGCTTCCGTTTTGCCGTGGTTGGCACTCAAAGTCAGTAGAAATTCGTCAAAACGAAACGCTGATAATATTACCCGTATCTTCAATGTACGATTTTAATGAATTTTACTGAGAAAGATACAATTCAAATGAATGATAAAGTTTACTAGGATAGTATAGATTCTATTCAGTGCATAAAGTAAGTTAAAATGTTAACAACCTTTTAAATAATAGGATCTGATTGAAACGAAGTACATTTAACTAAAATCTCAACTTTGAGCTTGATTTTAAAAAAATGCCACAACTTGCCACATGTTTAATTATTACTACAGGAAAGAGTGAACCTTCCTCTATCAGAATCTGAAAAAATCGGTTGCACTTTTTTGCACTTTTTCAAGAAAATGGCGATTGAATGAAATTGCATCCATCTTGGCCGCTGCGCACGATGATAGAAAAACAGTACCAGATACGATTATTAACCAGTTAACTGCATTCCACGTGTATATTCGTCATCCAAAACTTTATTTCGTCCTTGCAATATGCCATAATAAATTTTCATAATTGTCGAAACTGTTTTCACGAATGATTTGGTAT